TGATAACCTGGAGCAAATCGGTTAAACTTTTTATATTTGCGTTTCCTCACCTGCTACATAACAGTGTTGTTGTTGTTAGTTGCCACGGCGTTGGCTCTGGCTCATGACAGAATGGTCCTGTGCCATCTTGATGATCATTGGTATAAGGACAGTAAGTAATACCTACCCTGATTTAACTCTCAAGGATGCTTTGTGAACTAAATGTTTGTAATTCACTGTAAACTACATAGAAAATGGCACCAACAATATAAGAAGGTATTATTTATACTCGGCTATAACATGATTAAAAGGTAGTGGTGACTTAGTGGTAGAATTCTTGCCTTCCATGCAGGAGACCTGGGTGTGATTTCTGGCCAATGCACTTCACACTCAGCCACCACTCATCTGTCAGTGGAGGCTTGCATGTTGCTGTCATGCTGAATGGGTTTCAGTGGAGCTTCCAGACTAAGACAGACTAGGAAAAAAAGACCTGGTGATCTACTTCTGAAAAATCAGCCAAGGAAAACCCTGTGGATCACAAAGGTCTGATCCCATTGTGCATGGGGTCACCATGAGTCAGGGGCCAACTCGAAGGCAGCTAATGACAACACAATATGTTATTGCTTTCTATAGTGAGAGTTGCTTTGAATAAATTGATACAATCAGTAGGATATATGAGTCTGGATATGTATTCATCTGGTTAGTTCATTTAAAAATATTAAGATAAATAGAAGCATTAATTCAATCATTAAAAACAATATATTTTACTTAACTTAAAAAAAATTTTTTTAAAAGGGAAATAGAAAAGGTTGCCAGGTTGCTTACGAAAATAGATTGTAAGAGATGTACCAAATTGTTCAACATTTACTAACTGCCTACTATGTGACAGGCTGGGGGATGTGGCGGGGATAATAAGTGTGAATAAAATACGGTTCCTATCCTCAAGGTACTTCCTTCTGGTGGATACTATATGTCAATTCCACAGACAGAATGATAGGCTACTGTCCCTAGAACCTGAAGAGGCAAAGTATTGATAGCTGGCTTCGTCCACCGGGATAGCTACGGACAGTTAAGTTCCAACATCAAAGATGAGTGGAGTCAGCCCCATCCCAGAGTTATGGCAGAAGAGTATCAAGATGACCTACAGCAGCCTAAAGTGAAATTAGGGGACAAATTGGTTGGGGATGCCCCATTCTTGAGGGGTTCCCCTGGTAGGCATATGGGGGAATTCCCTTAAATATGGTAGAACCCCAACAGTAAATATAGGGGCTCGAGGGGAGAACAGATCCCTGCTTGCTAGTAGGAGACTGAAAGGAGTGGGGGAATTCTTAAAAACTCCATTTACAGAGTAGGAGATCCCCTTCTGTTACTCAAAGGGGGTATTCTGAGACATTTGTAATTACTATTCCCTGATCTTTGTTTCTGATTGAATCTTCCTTCAGGGTTTAGAGGGAGACAACTGTATACAGATATAGATATAAATGCAAAAATATAAATACAAACAATTTGGCTGTTAGTTCAGTGGTCCTAGGATTTAGGCCGTTTGTTTGTACTATTTGAATCTAGTGTAATTCATTTCTAATTAGCCCAAGTTGAAACATAATACCAGACAGAAGATAATGCGGATCTAATGAATAGAAGGCACAGAGATACGTCTGAGACAACTGCAGTCCTGACACAATTAACATGGTTTTTGGTGAACCTGTCACCACCAGAAAGCATAACTAACAACACTAGCATAAACTTAGACAGTGCTCATTATGTCCCATAGGGTCTCTATGAGTGGGAATCAACTCGACAGCAACAAGTTTGGTTTTTTTGTTTTTTATATACTATGCATAAAAGATGAAAAGAAGATTCAATAGTTTTAGAAAGAAAACAGACTTTACTGTTGACATAAAATTTCTCAAGTCCATTTTCACTTCCCATGATCTTAGCTAAGTAATTAACTTCAGTAACGTTTCCCTCTTTTTACCGGAGGTGGGGTAGTAGGGTGGTGGTAGTTAAAATAGAATATATTTATTTGCAAAGTGCCTTGAATTAAGAAAAAATAATAACTCATTTAAGGAGAAAGCACAATGTTATGATTACACTTTCCATATACCACATGGAAGCACATAATATTATACACAGTCAAGTGAGTAGCATCTTCTCATTTCTACAGGATACAAATGAGGTCAAGGTCACAGATTCCACTGTCTTAAACTTCCATATAGACAAAATAAGGCAAGACACAAACATTCCACAAAGTATACCAACTGGAGGACTTAGAATCTCAAGCTGTTGATAACTGGTGGCCAGGTAAGTATACAGGTAGCCCAAGTAAGGGGTACATATGATCATTACTGGAAAAATAACTCAAAGCCCAAATTTTTTCGTGGCAGGTTAGTAGTGGCATTCTTTACATTGAAATTACATTGCATCTATAAGGTAGAATTATTTTTGTTTGATATATAAAACTGCTCATTTACATACATACTAAAACTACAGCCAATTGAGAGTTGCTCTGAATAAATCTACACAATCACTGGTACTTATGAGTCTGTATGTGCACTCATATATTTAGTTCATTTAAAAATATTAAGACAAATGATATTTCACAATATTTTGGAAAATCTCTTAAATTTTTGAAAAAGAAACTATACATACGTTATATATGTAAAGACTAAGTGACAGTATGCAATATTGTTATTTTAAAAATAGAAAAAGCAATCAATATATATTTTAAGTTCTAAAGAGAACAAGAAGCATAAAACTAGAGGGCCTAAAAATTGTAACACATGCTTTTTATAAAACACATACTAACTTCACATTTATATATAATTATATATTCTAAATATATAACTACTATATTAGCATATTTGTATTACGTAGGAAGTTAAAGTTCCCACTGTAACTCCTCCCACTAGCTATAACTATAGTTTATGTATATTTCTTATTTTTTCTATGCACATCCCTATACATAATTATTAATGTAAAGATGTACTCTACCATATAAGTATTTTTTCCCACTCAACCATGTATCTTGGACATATTTTATAACTTTTTATTCAGTTTCTAATAAGTATCTTTCTTAAAAGAGTAAAAAGCCCTTCCATAGTCTGAGAACATTTTTCCCCTGAAATGAGTTTGAAAAAAATAATTTAAAATTTACCTCGCATTGTAAAATAGTAAACCGACTCTAAATACTTCAGCATTTACTAACTTTAATATATTAAGGAATTTTAAAATGAGTATGGGGCTCTGAGCTGGGGTTTTTTCAGAGGTGGTGGTTGTTTTCTTTTTAAACTCTTACCAAGATTATAATTATGAAAGCTTCATTTCCAGCTCAATCAGTCCTTCCAATTGCTCTAAATTCCATATGTGATGTAAACAGTTAAAAAAAAAAAAAAAAGGATTCAAGAATTAATTCTTTTCTTGAAGCATACAATCTTCGGAGCTGCACGGCATCCGTATAAGCAGACTCCTCCCCGCTCCTGGGGAAAACCCTGCCTAATATTTATAACGTTATGACATACTGTAATACAAGGTGGTTGTAGAAGTATAAACACGACTGGAGTTATCTGATTGGCTGCTGGTGATGTAACACTCATGTCAATACTTCCCAGTGAACGCACGTGTTCGACCTTTTATTTAAATTTCCATTTCATCACAGCAATAAGACACTCGGGGCGGTGCGTTTTCTGTGAAATGATTATTGCCTTGGGCCCGAGTTGCTGCTCGCGTACACAATGCATCAGAGGAGGAGGTGTCCGTGGTTGTAACCTCCTCGCGTGAAAGGCACCGCCTGGTCCAGTCTTTGTCAAGGAACAAAATAAGTTCACTTCCTTGGGCACCGCCACCCACCCCGACCAAATGACAAGGCTGGAGCGCAGCTCCCACCGCACAGTTATTTCCAAAGTCCCAGGTGAACTCACGGCGAGAGAAGGAAAATGTGCGTCCCGGGCGCGGGTAGGTGACCAGACCCTGACACTCGCCAGCTGTTTGTCCTCCGCGGAGCCCGGCCCCGGCCGCACACGTCCGCCCCCTCCCCGGGACCCCCAGCCTGCCGCCCGGCCTTTTGTCCCCCGCCCTCGGCCGACTTCCTTCCCCGCGGCCGCACCCCCGCCCCC